GTGCTCCCTGAAACCAGAGCCCCGGCATCCCACTGCTGAGCCGGGGAAGAAGACACCCTTCTTGGCCCCCAGCCGGGCGCTGAGGGATGGGGTGTGCCGGGGGGGGGAACACACTCGTGGGTCTGGCTGGGGGTCATGGGGATGGAGGGTGATGTGAGTACTGATGGCATCTCTGCGCACTGCAGTGGGTCCGCAGGGGATGGTGCTCAGGACACCCAACAACACCCATTCCCTGGGTGGGCATCACCCTCTCTGGCACACGTGCAGTGCTCCAGTTGGGCACCATTCCCAGGGGGACACACCGAGAGGAGCCACCAGCTCAGCAGCCTGTGGCAAGAAGCACCCAGCTTTATTTTCCCAAGTCAAGGCAGGTGAGCGGGGGACTGGCACATGGGACTCCCCCACCCCCCTAGATGAAGCGCTTGTTCTCCTCCCGGTAGTCATAGGGATCTCCAGCGAAGGGCAGCGGTGGCGGGTGGTTGTAGATGCCCATGAGGAAGATCCAGAGGGTGCCCACCACCAGTGTGGGGGTGACAAGGAAGAGGCAGAGGCGGTCCAGGGTCCGGGCCACACGGTTCCAGTTGTCCTTCTCCTGGGGAGGGAGCCAGGAGCTGGGCAGTGGGGGGCACAGTGGGCACAGGAGCACCCTTTGTCCCCTCCATGCCCATGGACCCCACCTCGTTGTAGCTGTTTTTTTCCCGCATGTGCTTGACGATGAAGTTGGCGCCATCAACAACGGGTTTTATGTGCTCGTAGAGCTGCTCCTCGCCTGTGTCCAACGGTGCCAAACCTAGGGGCAAGGGGGGGTGGTGAGACGAGCTCTGGGCCCCAGCCCCGCCCCCCTTCCCCGTGTCCCTGTGGAGGGGGCTAAGGCTCACGGGCAGGGGTGATGCGGCTGGCCAGCCCGTGCCGCTCCGACTGCTTCTCAAACATGAGCTCGCTGCGGGACTTGACGCTGAAGTACTCCTCTGCCTTGGCAATGTAGCCGGCCGAGCTGCAGCGCCGGATGCACGGGGTGCCCACTGGGCTCTCGGCCGGCTGCGACATGCCCAGCAGACGGGGCAGGGTCTCCAGGAAGACCTAGGGCATGGGAAGGGGTGTCAGGTCCCTTGCTCACCTCCCCAGTGCAATGTCACCTTGTCCCTGCCTTTTGCCCCCAACCTGGGTGTGCAGCCCCTTGGAATAGCACAGATGGGACACCCTGATGCAAGGTTGAGGCTGTGCTGTTCCGTGCCCTCCGTGGGGCATGGTGGCACTCCTGTACCCACCAGTCCACCCACCCCAGCCCAGCACGCTGCTCACCTCTTTGACCCAGTCAGACATGATGTGGGTGCTGGGAGTGCGGAAATGGAAGTTGAGGACCACAACACAGATCAACACCACGGCTGTCACCAGCAGCATGATAAAAAGCAGGTACCTGAGGGGAGCACAGACGTGGGGCTGGCATTGCCACAGAGGATGGGCACAGGCAGAGCTGCCCCCTGGCACTGAGGGGACCCCATGATGTCCCCATTGCATGCAGCAGTGCCCAGGACTTACTTGCCGATGAGGGGGACAGCATGGGAGGTGGCAGGCAGGCGCTGGGAGATGAGCAGAAGGAATACAGACTGGGCCAGGAGCACCGAGATCACCAGGGTCATCTTCTCACCACCTGGAGAGCAGATGAGCTCAGGGCAAACCCTGCTCCAGGTCCCCCTCCCAGCGCGCCCAGTGCTGGGATTGCCCTCCCAGCATCCCATAAAGGGTTTTCTATTATGGGGGTACCCCAGAGTCCCACATGGGGTATCCTGTGCCCAGGTGTGCTCCTCCCAGGGTGCCTGGCTGGGATGATGGTGTCCTGTGTAGGGGTGTCCCATTACCAGGATGTCCCTGTGCTGGGCATTGCGATGTCCCATGTCCCAGGCCTTGGTGCAGATGTGGGACATGGAGGTGTCCCATGGTGTGACCCAGTGCAGGTGCTGCAGGGCTCACTCACTGTCAGCAGGCAGGTAGAAGACAAGGATGGCCATGAAAGCAATGAGGATACAGGGCGTGACGATGTTGATGACATAGAAGAGCGGCTTGCGCTTTATGATGAGGTAGAAGGTGATGTCCTGGTGCTCACTGCTCTCGGGGGGGTTGTCAGGGTGGATGTTCTTGCGGGCTGGCCGGTGGATGATTTCCCATTCCCCGTTCTCTGCCAAGGCACATGAGACAGCACACGGCATGGGAGACCCCTGCCATGCCCATCCTCACCAGCCCCACCCACACCCACTCTCCTTGTCCTGGGCCTAGGTAGCTCCAAGCCTGGTGGGATGGGTGCCAGGATGCCAAAGCCCTGGGAACTTGGGTGTCTCCTTGGCAGGCTACCCCAATGCCAGGGTGGCCCTGAGCCCTGTATAGGGTACCCTGCTGCCACAGGACACAGCATTACCTGTGAAGCCTTCAGGGTCGATGATGATCCACTCCACTGGGTAATTCTTGCCCGTCTCTGGGTCAGTATCCTCCTTCAAGTGCATGCTGATCTCCAGGGCACTGTATGCCAGCGAGCTGGCCCGCAGCCAGGGGGTACAGGTGGTGAGGGACTGCATCTGCTGCTTGGTACCCACCACCCACCCAGCCTGACCTCCAGCATGATGGACTAGGGCCACCGAGTCACCTGCAAACCCCCACCTTGCTGCACTCCGACAGCAAGGGAAGATGTTGGCAGCAGCAGGCACTGCAGGGGGCCAGGATGCCCACCCTGGTGCCTACCCCTGCCCTGCCCCAGCCAGCCTCTGGCACCTGAATTTGAGGGTGCAGTTCTGCCAGTCGAAGGGGAAGAAGCCAACGTTGATGGGACAGGCACTGCGGAAGATGGAGGGTGGCAGCCAGGTGACATAGCCCGTGTTGTAGATGAGGACGTTGCAGTAGTACGCGATCTCAAAGAGCCCATCGTTGCTGCGCCAGGAGAGAGCTGAGGTGATGGCGGGGTTGACAAGGGGCAGGGGGAGCCCTGGGCATGCACCGGGCACAGCTCAGGGGTTTCGAAACTGAAGCAGAGCTCACTTGTTCTCCAGGACTATCTCGGGCAGCCACGCCACAGCATGTCTGGTGGCAGGCGGAGCACCTCGATGTCCCCAAACTCGGACTTGTTCCACTGCAGGCGGTAATCGGTCCAGGCCTGGAGGGGAGGCCCCCAGGTCACCACGCTGGGCCACCCCATTGCCCATGCCTCAGGCATGCCGTGACGCTTGTCCCTACTCACGTGCTCAAGCCATAGGTTGGTGGTGAGCGTCTCATCCACCTCTTTCTGCAATGACAGCATAGGGCAGTGAGATTCCAAGACCATGCCCAGCAGCCATCCCCCCAGCCCAAGACCCCACAACAATCACCAGCCAGGGTTCAGGGCAGCAGCCCACGGCTGTGTCCCCCCCAGCCAGCCCTGACTGTGAGGTGTGGCTGGGGGTTCACCCCATGGTGGGCACTG